TATAAACAATTTTCACCGCTGGACGTATCTTTTCACGTTATGGATTTCGTGCAAGGCCCAGCATAATTTGCGGGCAAAGATCAAAGCATTTACTATGTCGAAAAGTTGAAAAGCGGAAATATGAAATACTTAAAACAAAACTGAAAACAATATAAGTTTTGTTGAGGCCCGCGACAGTCTATAAACGCTTTTCTAGGCATCGAAAATCGCAAAATTTCGTGTGCCTACGGCACAAATTATGTTTGCTTGACCTTTAAAAACATTTCGTCACTAAAATCAAAACGGTCAATTGTGAGCGGGATTTGCCTTTTTATCCATTACTTTTAAATTGACGTCGAAAATTTTCGTGTTAACATTAAACAAAGCTGGGAACGCGACTTTTCCCCGGTTTGTGATGATATATATAAGATAATTAAAGTATATTCGATCACTTTTTGTATTTATTTATGCATTTTTATTGTACTGAAATAACTTTTACTACGTGAGAATTGACAGAAAATTTACGGCTTTTTCGAAAGGTTTCATCTTTAAAAATAATCGGAGTGACAACATTGCGATTGAGCGGAGCCAGTGTGACAAGTACATCTCAAATTTATCGAATTCGCAAAATAGCAAAAATACGGATCAAAACAATACATAACGGGCAGTTTACCTCACATTTTTATGTTTGCGGATTGCCGTCGTGTTTTAGAGTGGCTCTTGTTTTGTCGACTCAACCGCAGTTTAAATTGAAGACAATTAAATTAATAAATCAAGACATTTTGAATATGCCCTTATCGGTCTTTGATTGATTAGTTTGCACAAGTGAAAAATCATTTTTCGTTGATAAAATTGGCTCTTTTAACAAGTGGCGCAATCACGGCGACTGTTCCGCGTGGATTTCGAGGCGGTGAATTTGTATTTTTGATTTACTAGTATACTTTATAATTATTTTCATTGTATGAATTAAAATTGTACTATATGGGATTTTATATCAGATATCGAGATTTTTGTAACGGCGATAACGAGTTCGGAAGATTGCAAAAATAGGTATCAAAATTAAATACATCAGGCAGCTTATGTCATATTTTTATGTCCACATATCGCCGTGGTACTTTAGTTTAGTAATATTTTTATTTTGACGTAAGAAGTCGCAACCGCGAGTTACGTTGCACACTATTAAATTAATATATAAGTACATTTTAGAATCTCGTGGCTGTCATGGATCGACAGAAAAATCATTATACGCTTAAATAGGCGGCTCTTTTAACGAGCGCGTAATCGCGGTGCTTGTTGCAGATGGCAATGGGAAATTTCTGAACTTGTGCCTGTTTATTTTCGTATTAAATTATAAATAAATACCCTGCAAAGTCATTGCGTGAATCCTGAATGTAATTTCGAGTTCAAATGATGATTTAATAAATCGGCAATAATGGCAATTCTACTAGTCAAATGATAATTCCTTGGTCAAATTTAAGAAAAAAATTCGCACAATGGCTTGTTACCTTGTTTTGCATTTCTAATTTTACAAAACGGCGTTAGTGCGCTTTATGCAGAACTAGGAATTGAAACAATAACCTAATACGACTCCTAAAATTTGTTATTTTCTGTCTGTTAGCGAGAGCCGTGGGCTAATTCTCGCGGAATTCTAGAAATTGGTTCAGTGACGCGCAAGTTCCGTGTCCGAGCAAAGCAGCCTAGGTACTCGATATATGAGTTGCAAAATGACATTCTAATACTTAGAGAATGACATCGACAGGTTATTGTTACGTGACGATACGCGGCGCGGTGTTTTTCGGTAGGCGATCCAGGTTCGCCCCCCCAAAATTATGGAAAGTGTCCGCCCCTGCACCTCACCTAACCAATATTTATCTGTGCACTGTTTCATTTCCTATCAACTGTTGAGTGCCAGTGTTGTGTTTACCTTGTTCTTGCTGTCATTATGCCTTTTTGCAACTTCCTTTCTTATTGAGTTTTAATTCTTTCACGAAATGCTATTCGATTGAAAGATCTGATGTTTTGGTTGTCTCAGTGCTTGAAAACATATAATTATTATTATAATAAGTACGCAATGACAGCGCGTGACCAGTCTGTTGTTGAATTGCTGTACGATTTTCTCGCTTTGTCGAAATCCGTCAATATACAATGTTTGGTATATAAACCTTATTTATGATCGTCGTTTTAATGAATGTGTCTCATCTCTATATCATGCACAATCATATATGTAAAGTGTTCTTTTTACATTAGAGAACAATGGTATTCAAACTATAGAACAGCGAAATTACTTTGTATCACTCTCAATGCTTCAGTGAAAGTGAATAAACGTTACGCAAAGCGATCACCATCCTATTGGTTCGTTGTAAGTAAACACCCACGAAACTTCAGTCCAGGTTGTAGAGTATACATACCTATGGGTTTGCCCAGTGCAATATCTCTACGGAAAAGGATTAGTTAGGCAAGTCGTAGTCGCACTCGAAGCAATAGTTTAATGTTATTGAATCATTACGGGACATTGTACTCAGTATAATATAGGCCGTCACATCCGTTTAATTCGTTTGTAGGGTACGATAACGATATTGTCGAGTTTGTTTCTGCACCTTTTATGAGATGCGGAATAAGTAGTACAGTCATACGTAATTGACGTGTTACATCTAATGGTTAGCACATTTACTATTTAAAACACAAACGGCAACGTCACTGCCAAATCATCACCTCTTCATATGGTAATTAAGCCACATGCAAAAAGTAACTCCGTGATAAATGCAGATGACAGACGCATATTCGGCGACTACCAGACGTATCGGGGTCAACTGTTATGGTTGTGCCGTTTATGTAGCGTGTAGTGGACAGGTCGTTGAAATTCAGGGAGATTTAGATCTTTATGAGTCAGCAGAGTGATATTGGCAATGCTGTATTTTGATTATATGACAATGATCTATGAGTAGTAAGTAATACGCTTGGAAGCACTAGTTTGTTTTTACCAGCAATTGAATTGAAGCAATTGAGTAACTTTCCTTGGAAGTAATTAGCATGGATAAAAGTATGGCGATGGGAAATATATTTGTGTGCTAAATGAGTATTAGTAATCAGAGAATTGGAAATATTTGAGAAAATACTTTTTGATTTCTTCCCGCTTTCAAGAGCGACATCACATCTCGGGCAGGATTTGGTACATAGCACGAAGATTGTTTAAACTTGCCGTTTTAAGGTTTTTCAATTTTGTCAGTAAGTTGTTAATAAGCCGCGTTCATTTATTCATTGTTAGAGCTGAGTTTGAATTTAGAATTCGATAACACATAGATACAATGAGAAGTGCCATTGGTCATTATTAGTTTACTGGTAAAAATGATAGTTCCGCTCTCGAGCTTTGTTTACGATACTTACAAGGACATAAGTTTTCAGATTTGTTTGTGCCAAATTGCCTGAGAGATAAAAATCGGTGTATTTGATTTGACTATTCACACGTTTGCGATATCAGATCATTTGGCAGTTGAATTAAGATTATCAAACGGTATTAATTGGTATTTGTTTCAAGTAATCGCGATTTACAGGTGCTTCTAGGTCTTGCCAAAGCGTTTTTTTATGCTTGCGCAAAATTACGTATTGTTTGCCATGTTTATGTTTTCAGGACATTTTTTTTATAAAACAGCTTGGCTGTATGATTCATCCAAATTTGTTTGACCGATGGGGCCTTGTCTCTCTCGGGCTTTGTTTTCGGTTCAGTTCTTTTGAAACCAAGCTAATCATTTGTCGTGAAAGGTGGGCTAAACGCGTCGAATAAATAAAAAAAGAGTGTTCCCCAATTTTGAAAAACTTTTACTAAACGTGTATTAGTGAAGAGATTGGCTTTTTTCGATTTCACGTATAGCTTGATTTGGCTTTGTTTAGAGGGGTATATGGATATATTAAGTGACCAAAGGGCTTAGTTATCGCATTCCATATGGTTGTGATTAAAACATTGTATAGATAGAGGATTTTTGTTATGACATAATTCCATTTTATTACTCCTTTGTTTTTCGTATTTTTATGTCCGCTTTTCACCTTCGATTTTACCTATCGGCCTCACTTAATTGATATTTATCGCAGTGTTTTTTGTGCGATTACTGTTTTGCTAATGATTAACGACACTACCCAGTTACTGAGTATTGCTTTGTTTTGTGGCCATAAAGGGGTAAACATGGTGCTAAGTATCTGACTCTAACTATAACAATATGCATCAAGAAATAATAGGGCTGTTGATTTGTTTGGGCGAGAATAATTTTGATGTATCAAGTCGTGGAACGGATTTGTTGCCGATTGTACTGAGCTGTTAAGCTGTATTTAACAACGAAATGCTATAACGATTGGCTATGCAATCAATTCCTTAGTATCGGAGACATCGTATAACATATTAAGTTTCAAGATAATTCGACGTGGAGAGTATGGTGAGCATAGTTTCAAGTTGGTGTGAGTTTTTGGGTGGATAATTTCAAAATTCTGAGCTTAGTTAGTGTGGGCTAAGCCTTGATTCTCGACCGTAGGTATTTTAATTCATACATTTGCTAGCTAAATTGAGGTTATTCTTGCTATCAGACTTTCAGGGATATTTGTACTTCAAATTGGTAAAACTTTGACCGTAGGATATTGTTCAATCCATATATTATTAAGTATTTGAATTGATCAAATTAGAGAAAATATCCATAATTATTGGCATGAAAAATGTATGAGCTTATGCGATTTGGTGTCTACGTTATCATTGATCTGATATTGGTCCGATTTCACAGTATTAAAGGCTCCATATATTGTTGACCATTCTCTCATCATTAGTCTTGCTGAAAGTAAAGAAAATTAATAGGAAATGAGAGGTGGTTTGACCAGGTGATCTGACTTACAATGAAACTATTTGACGTAAAGTGGGGCGATGTTCGAGCGAATGCTGTTGTTTTTATCGAAACCATTTCTTTTGTTTTGGATTTGTGTGCTATTACTACGACTTGTAATTTTTGTTACGAATAGCGTATCAACGTGATGTTGCTCTTTCCTATTACCAGATTTATAGTTCCTGCTAACTGTAGATAGTATATATATATATTAAAGTGAAAAGTAAATATATATAGTATATATATAGTTGAAGAATATTACGACGCTAATTTACAAGACCAACGTGCAAACTACTTGAATGTTCAACGGTAAACCCTGCATGAAGTACCACTCGACGCACACTTCAATCGTCTGATTTGACAGGATTCATACCCTCAGCACTAACAGGAATAGTTGGAATCCAAAGAACTTTGTATTATGGCGACTGATAATACCAAAAATTTTACATATGACAGAGGCGGACCTTACTTCAATGCATCATGGGAATACTACAAAAACCTGCCCTTTGCCGCGAATTTCTCCGACGGTAACATATCAATGATGATGGAAGGAAACTGTAAAGCAGTAATGGTACGTATGGAGATATTTACTTTCTCTGATATCAGCCAACTCTAAGTCGCAATTCTACCAGGCCACACGATCGGTCTATTTTACTATAATTAACAAAAGAGCGATTATTTGTGCCATACATTTAAACTTTTTCTCTAGTTCAATTTTACGTGTGAGTGGAATATTGAGTTTGTTGATACATCGAGTAATTGTCACCACTTTGTCACCTCAGTGATTTCAATTGCAATATTATTTTGCAGTCTGTTTTTGTGTTAAACTCTCACAGGAAGTTATGATATTGTAAAAACTGCTGAATGTACCAATTGTTTCAAACATTGCCAATGATATACACGTATTGTGGACTTGTGGTGGCTCCCACGCAATTGGCGATTGGCACGGCGATTGGCGAAGAATTCATATGAAAACTTCCAACATGCCAACAACCAAGGATAAGCACCATATTGTCCTACTAAAAAGTTTGTTTTGTGGTTAAAAGACTTGAGCAAATGTATTTTATTTCCAGCCAATTTTGAACCTGAACGGTAAAGCAAGATCACTTATATTGGGGGTTCACTGAGGGTTTATTCATAAATTCATTTGTTATTCATAAATTGGTGGTTATGGAAATCGGAATACCCTACTAGTTGATTGCTTGCGGTGTTTAGACGTGTAAATTTTATCAACGCATTTAAGAAACACTATGAGCACAGTGAATTCAATGAATTGCAGTTCATTTGATGTCCAAATGAAAAATTTTCTTTCTACTTATTATAGGTGTTGTGTGAACAGGTATTTTCATTGTCTCGCATTTAACTAGAGAAAAAAATCACCAAACAAGTATGTTTCAAGTATTCTGTTTCCTATTCATTGAAAATAGGTCCGATTCGAGTGAACGAGCAAATTCTGTTTAGTGACATAACCTTCAACCTTCAATGCATTGACGTACATTGCAATGTTTGCACACATGCATTTCCACCCTTACCTCTCGCGCAGTACAAACTTCACTATAAAAGTGAACGGTTTCACCAATAATTGTTAAGCACATTTGGGTTGATCTTGTTTCTATGTGCAAACAAAGCAAAACGCAGTCCGTGATGTCGTAATAATTGACCAAAGTTCGAAGTTTCGAAGAAACAAGATGCTTGTTAAATGCCATGCAAGAATGGATGTGATATATTTCAGGCGTCGATTGTGAATTTCTGCGAAATCGAACGCACACGAAAAATAATATAGTGAAGAACTTTTTCACCCAAAAGTTTCATATAGTTTCGGGTTTATTTAAAGAAATCGATGATGGTTTAACTGAAAATCGCACCGTCGTTCACCAAGTTTCCATGCTTGTTGGAAAATGATCACCGTCAGGTAAATAAGCAATAGCGAACTGAATTACCCGCGTTACGTTTCATGATATTGTATACGTTTAAAACTACCATTACCATTGTGAACGCTCGTTTTTTTGTGACCGAATTTCACCGAAATGAGGTAACGCGATAATGTTGCTATTTCAATGAAAAGCGTCAAGTTCGCTAATGGCATCAAGATTGAGGGCCAAATTTTATGCTATTAAATGACGAGCAGTGTCGCGAATTTCACTTTACCTTATGCACCCCATGATCAACGCAACGTTTGTTCAGCAAAGACTGTTTATTATTATAGTCTGGGCACCTTTTTCAATGAAATAGCGCACTGAATATTCCTGCATTACTGGCAGGGGTTCGGTGTAATATTCGATAAAACACACACAAAGAAAGAGATCGAGAATTAAAATAAAAGTTTCATTAACGTTTTGGACACCAATTTCACGTAGCCAAACTTTTGCTTGCTAACAAACAGGCCATTCATTGATACCATTTTTAAATATACCAATACCACCAAGGGGAAAAAAGTTTAGCGCTGTGGCCACTTTCTGTGGAAATGCAAACGAGAAACACACCAATTCATATTCAAAATTGGTGTCAATATTAGGGTATTTCGCAATTCCGTGGTGATTCATAGACACTACAAAGCAAAGATCACATTTGGGTACTCCCGTAGTGTGTGTACCAGGTTAGGGTTAGGCCAATTTTCCTCATTTTATTTCAATTACGAGTTCGGGGACTGTTTGTGTTAGCCAAGTGAATAACCCCCTGTCCATAGGCTCTCCCCCTTCACACAACTTGATGTAAAGTAGGCAAACAAAATTAGTTACCTCTATATTGGTACACATACTTCTGTAGAACCCACATTTGCATATCCATGCCATGGATAGCAGTTTAGTATGCAAGAAATTTCATTGATGTGATCGCCAATGAGAAGTTGGATAGCGAGAAATTGGATTAGTAATGAAATTTTCGACCGAAGGAAGTCGAAATTAAAACAAAATGTTGATGGTTTGTTTTGTATATAAACTTGCATCTAAAATGGCGAGGAAGGAGAATTCGTTCATAATGGCATTTACAATTATTCCCCCAGGACTGTGGTGTGGTTAGGACTCAATTTAACGCTTCAATACTCCTATTTTCCAATTCGTGAATAAGAGCAGTTGATTATTTTCTAGACTTACCCCTCAATTGCTTCACGTAGGAAGTTATAGAAAACCGAATATTACTGCTAGTCAAAAAGATTTAATACATTTGATACAAATAGTAATTCAAACCAGTGGCTTTATGGCAAATATGTAGTCTGCATCTGTCTTCTGTTGACTGTATCGAATTTTCTTATGCTTCACCAGGATGCTAAAATTTGCAGCCTGCATTTGGAAATCATTCTGACAATGGTACTCTAAATTGGCTGTTCCCCATTTCTTCTCGTGCAGTAGACGAGATCAAACTATACCAAAACCCAGACACGGAGACCGTTTCGTCTCAGTGGCTAAAACGGTAATCCAATCATCCGGTTTTCTTTTCAGTCGGGGATTGATCTCCTTGTCTATTTACTGCGAATGTTTTTGTTGTAAACTCATTCTCGGAAGTCTTCGCTAGAAAGATCTAAAGAATCAGATTTCTGCGACCCATGTCTCGTATCCGCCTTATTTCACCCTTTTTGACGTCACCAAGAGCTTGTTGAGTCCGCAATGCCTCCATTGTACGTCAAGCATTGAGACAATCTACATTAAAATACCTCGACGTCGCCACGTAACAGTTTATTTTAAACTCATGCAATATTTTGCCGCTATTTCGTGGTTGAGACATTGTTTTATTTACTTATACAATTATACATTGTTGTAATTGAATAAAGTGTAAAAGAATATTTGTCACGAACACTTATTTTTGGCCTCAATCTAACTGCACGTGTCCGGGTTGTAAGTGGTCTCGGACAGAGTTTGGGCGTTAGAGATCTGGATTAAATTTGAAATGAGGTGAACAAGATTAGGGTCGGCGAACAAAGGTACACCCCCAATTATTTTCAGTCATAATTTTCGATTTCGAGATTTGAAAACATATTATTGAAGTCCTGACTTTGTTTAGACGAAACGTCACTAAAATTTGTGAAAGTGTGATGCAAGACTTATTTATAACTGATAGGCATCATTATCAATTGCTTAGGCTGCGTATTGGTTAGCCATAATTTTTGCCACCGAGGGAAACGCGCCATAAAATATGACTAACAGACACCTAAGACATAAGGATTTGCGAACTGTTATTCAAAACAACTAATGTCTCGATTTACTTTTTCAGAGTGTTCTCTACTTCGATAAAACTCAACTGGCCCGTGTTATTGTGACATGGATAATGTTTCTGATAAGCGCAGTTGGCAACAGTTTTGTGCTGTTCTGTGTCTGCAGAAAATCGCGAACATCTCATGTACATTTGATTATGTTGCACTTCGCAGTTGCTGATCTTGCCTTCACGTTCTTGGTGATGCCGAAAGGTGATTTTCTTTCTTGGTTCTGATTTTACTTTCAAGTATTTGCTTGTAATTTCTCTTATAAATCTGAAGTAATAGTTTGTAATTTAGAGTTGGTTTTATGGTGTATATTCTCTAATTAAGGGAAATATAACTGATTTGGCAAAAATTATGCAGTATTCTTTGTACGCTGAAATATTAGTATACACCACATTTGATACATGTTTTCAATTGAACGCCAATGCCTTTTTGCAATGATAGGCGACGATAATGCAAGTAAGGATTCCCCCTTCGCTACTATGCGTAAAGGACGTTTGCCCTTCAATCTTTCGTGGCATACTAAATGTAAGCCAAGACAACAAAATGAAAAACATATCATCAGGTGGAAACAGATGGATTTAAATTTCTTTATACAAATTTTTCAATAATGGCCAAGTTTATCAATAAGTGAGTCCGTGACTTATACCATGACGGTTCAGCGGGTATTTTTCGTGCCGAATATTCGTCATATCTGAACTTTTTTAAGCTCCCGGAATGCGGCTTAATCCGCTACACTCCAGTGGGACCTGGTAAAAACTTTTACGTTTGGGCTACTTCCATGCCACGAAATGACAGCTTAAATATCCCATTTAAGGCGATTTACTTCAGTTAAGTTAATAAAAACGAGTTCTTAAATAACTTGACCACTAGAGAATACACCGGAGGACTTGTGTGTGACCTGGCCGTCAACCTCGTAGGAAACTTAGCCGAGGCTTTATGAAAATAAACCACTTGTCGGGATCGCTAATGTGTTTTTGCGGGGTTCTAAATGTATTTACAATGTTTATTACAAATCCCATACTTGACATTAACTGCTTCATTTTTTTTCTGTTTCGCTGAAGTTGTTATTTGTTTTAAACATTATATGATCATCATTCGCCGAGAATTGGATAAATAGCATTACTGTTATCGTGAAAAACATTCGCATTGTGCCACAAAACGTTACAGCATACTTAACTGCGGATGTTTTTTTCCAATTATAGATAACGTTGTTTCAAATATGTATCAGTGATATATTATTGTGATTTTTAAAATGTCTTGACGCAAATGCCACATGCTGTATCCAAGTCGTTATGAGTATATGCTCAAATGAAATCGTATTTATCGTATCAACAATTTTTAGATAAGTTCCCTCTCAATGTTTTTTTAGGATATTGGTTCGAATTGGGATCCTCAAACAAAACAATGCTAATTCCTTCCAAAAAGTTAAAGTTTTGATTCTTGAGGCGTAATTTTTTTCAATTTTTTTTTCGATGTTTTTGCGGGGATTTACAGTTCAGTTCGAGAATTTAGTAGCCATATTCTGTTAATGTACTTTACATCCGACCATGATCAATGAGAAAATCGCAATGTACAATCCAAAAAACGACAACTTCTTGAATTATTTAAAGAAAATACTCGTTTCGTCTCGTTTTTCTAGGCAGGAAAATGACTTCTCACGTTAACATAAAAATTTTAGGCAGCTCCATGTCATGGAAGTATCATTGAGGACTTTCGTTGATATAATGAAACAAAATTCATTATTTTGCTTAGATGCTTATTTTTTTCAGACTAACCTTTTTTAGGAGAATTTTAATGAAAATATATTCATTATTGGGCTTTGTTATACGAAATATTACAGCTCCGAATCGATCATATTAAAACGTATTTTTCGGGTCGTCATTCAAATTGTAATTTTCGTACAATATAGATAGCCACGCAAAATACCAAGAAGTATTTCTTTTTATTTGTCTGTTTTAAGAGATCTAATTAAATTTTTGTGTTTGGCATTACGAACTGCCCACAACTCTGTAATTAAGTACCGACCGCGTCACTTTCCAGTCGCAGCATCGTGATGAGGCCTTTTAACTTCTGTGTCACGTAATCACCGCGGCGCCCCTTGTGAAACAATCAGGTTTATCACATTGGTTTAGCATGATACGAGAAAATAGATTCTTAGGATTGAACTAAAATAACATTGCAAATCTGGAATAATATGAAATGGTTTACATGTTGACTTATGTCGGTTCAGATACAGGATTAAATACTTATGCTCAGATCAACTTTACGGTTACGGTTAACTTTACGGTTACTCTGCAGAATAACACGGAATTCAACTCGGGTGAAATTAGTTTAAATTTCGGAATCCGATGTCATGATTTTTTATTGCTGTTACCGACATTCAGAAATGTGCACTGAAAGCCCAAAAATAGCGCTGAAGCTAAAGTGAAGTGTTCACATTGAGTGTGAAACGAATCGTTAGAAACGAATAGCAATTATACCCAATGATTAAATCTCTTTTATTTCATTTGCTTCAAGTTGAATGCTGATTGATGCGAAATACACGTCATGCCTGTTGTTAAATATGTCCAAACGCCTTTTACGCCTAGGCAGACCATAACTTGCATTGCCGATTTGAAGATTCAAGTTTTCCTTAGAATTCAGCGCACGAATATTGTCATTGTCAAACTGGCAATGGCAATATGAATAATTCAATATCCAGTCATATAAGGTTATAACATGCTTAATCAAGTGAACATAATTCAACTTGGTGTAAACTTTTGACTCGGTGTACTCAATATATACGCTGGAGGCAAGTTCGACTAAAATGGGAATTCTGGGATAATATTTCGCATACATATATATCATGGATTAGAAATACACAGAATAAAGTGACTGATTAAACAGATATTTCCAAGTTTTTGCCGTCATATAATAATACTTATGGTTGCGGTGTGATCCCGGTAGAGTAGGGGTAGGAAATCTCAAGGAAACTGATTACAGATGGAAGTTTATGTGATACGCATCAAACAACCTAGAAATTTATATTTTGATTTTATCATCACACAAACCACACCTTCTTCCTCTGAAAAGAAGACAGTTATTGGTAACAATCATTGCGTGAAACTATGTTTATCGACTGTTGGTTGGTCCCGGTTATGATCAATGCAAAACCGAAATTACGTCACAACAGGCCACAATTCGGCATGGAAGTGCAGTTTAATGCCACAAAAGGACACAAAATCTTGGATTAAAATTCCATAAATTCAGCTCGCAGAAAAATGGCTATCCATCACCATCAATTACAATATCCTAGTTTTGTGAAAACTATATGCTATTTCTCGCATGTGAAATGTGGGTGTATCACTCATGTAAATAACAATGTAATTCTTATTCGTACACAAGTATGATTCGTTGCTGGTTGTTTTATAACTTCAAATTTTATTTTGCACGTGCTTTACAGCAACTTTTTTATTCCATCGTGTAAGAGTGAACATTTTCGAACTAAGGTAAAATTGGTAAATTATCCTCTCCATCATGTTAATTAACCCTGTGTTTTGCTCCTGACTACCACGCCAAATATTATTGTTTGAACAAGTATATTTCTACCCCAAAATGAGGAGATTTGCTGCATTCTTATTTAATATTTCGAAATTTCGATACATTTTTCTCTTCATTATAAGTTGTTTTTAGTTGACTGTTTTTTAAATTTATGACAAACAATTGATATGATTTTTGGATGCGTATGTGGATTTATTATTTCTTGCGTATTTTGGAAGCGTCAGCAATTATTTGGAAATAGCAAACAAACATTCCACTTCGAAAACCGTTTCACATTTTTTTACCATGGTTAAAAAATCGAGCTACTCATCTGTTTAGTAAGCTAAGGTTTTACATTCAGTCGTAGTAAACAAAAACATATCACCCATAGTGAGTTAATGCCGTCCATGACGTGTTGAACGTCTATTCAATATCCTATTACCACCGGCAAGTAATTGTAGTGTAACAACGAGCCCAGAGCGAAGTAAATTAAGTGTAATTTGCTATTTACGGGAACAGTAACACGTATGACGTCACATTGAAGAACTATAGCAAATTTATGTGATAATAATTGTAATCTGTTGAAATGTTGACAGTTTAGTTCGTTAATAAGAAACTTGCAATTTTTTAAGTTAGCAAATTTGTCATCGAATGAATGAAACAACATGAGACATAAAAAGCATTGGGCAATCCTACTTTGCGACATAGAAAAGAAAAAAAATACGATGAGATAGTCTATAACAAATATTTAAGCTTGTGAGCGTTGGGATAATACATGAATACATTTTCCATCATTTTAACTTTTTATTATCCGATATTCTGTGATTCACAACCTAATTTGCTGAAATGTGTTGAATTTTCGCAGAATCCTGCGTATCATTCATTGTTAATGATAGTGTAATATTTCAGAAGTGATTACGCAAAAGTTATAATGTGTCTTCGCCACGCACACTCGATACTGGCACTATTATTGTAACCCAAAATAAACATTTGTTATTTGACACTCTTCGAAATATTACATAGTTTTTAATTAAATTTGACTCGCGTTTGATGGAGTAAATACAATCAACTCCGATCGCGAGAATCCAAATATCGCTTGCGTCATTGGTTTGTTGTTGTTAGCTAACTTCAAAGAGGAGAGCGTGTTGCATTTTTAATGCAACTTGTCTAGAGAATTCTAAATTATAATATTCTTTGTGTTTGATGAAGTAATATTTTATGTAGGGATATATTATTAGGTGTGCAGTTCCAAATTAAAAAGGTCATGTTTCTTTGTTATGTTCAATCATCGTCATATGTGAATTTCGTGTTATATGCCATTCTGCTATATCCCACCAAGCTATATCCAACGTGAAATTTTGTGTATACATTTGTTTATTATTATTTTTTATCCAGCCTGGAGTGCGCGCCGAAATTTAGTGACTGTTTATTGATAAATACACTAAATATAAATGTATAATTATGCTCTTTGGCTGATGAATTGAGGTTATCACGGTCGAGAAGAGTCCCTTAATGTATCCATCCGATGGAAATATGACTAAACCATTATATAATGGGTGGGAATTACAACAGTTGGACATCATGTTTACCGCTTCCGACACTTCCAAGTTTATCAAAAATCCATTTTAGTAGGTTTGGAATTGAAACGTCGACAATTAATTCAGCAGTATGAACTCCCAAAAGTC